CCCATTTGGAGACAGGGTTTCAGAAGTTATAATATATGAAAATTATTTCAGGGGGAGGTGAACTGCATAAGCCATGGTAATTGTGATTGGTCACATAAGGTTGTCTGGTTGCATTTTTGCACCCTAGAGTAGCCTATACTTGTTTTAAACACATGCAAGAGTCCCCTGGAAGCCTCTGAGCCCAGGTGGTTTTTTTTCCCCTTTGATATCAACACCCCAAACATTGGAAAGGGGAAAGGAAGACATGGTGACAGTGGGACATCCTATGCTTTCTTTGAGAAATTGTGAGTCCAGTGCTTTGCCTTCTGACTTCCAGTGATCTAGTGTTGACAGCAATGATTGTGTTACTGGTAGGATTTTGAGATCACTGAGGAAGCATTCAAAATGCATCTGACCAACCCAGTGTGCTTTATTTTGAATCAATATTTCATCTCCTTTACACTCTGTTCTAGAACACCTCTGTTAAGAGGACAGAACTTTAAGCAGAGTCTCATCCATGGACTCTTACAAGAATTTTAAATAATTGGAGGACCATATTTCATATGGATATTTTATATAAGTTTATTTGTGTAACAATATTTACCCTTGAGTAATATTTCTATAGCAATTAAATTGTTTTGTGTTTGCTCTGCAGGGAGTAAAGAGTATGCTGTCTCTGATTCTTTTTTTAAAACTTTGGTATTTATGCCCTCCCTGGAGTGGGCGTAGATTGATTTCTTCCTGTTGATTTCAATGACAAAATTTGGGTTAGAAAAAAAAGGTGATCATGGAAGAAAATTGTTGTTCTTCATTTTTGTCTTTTAAAAATCCAGCAGGGCCTTGGTTATGGCATAAACTCCAATATAAACCTTTTCTGCAGTAAATAATAGAATTGCTCTTCTCTGGGGAATAGAGAGATTCAAAGATATACAAGTTTGGAGACATTTTTTGTTTCTATTTCAACTTCTCTGTGCATGGGAGATGGAGAATGGAGATTTTGTGTTATAGCTATTCTTAAATAATTAAAAATCTCATCCATCTTCTATAGATCACCCAGTAACCTTTCAGTAGATGTTCATTTACTTTCTATTTTGCCCCTTTTAGCAAGTCTAATTTCATATCTTTGCTCAAACAGAAAGAAACATAGCTGTTAGGCTTCACATCAAAAACAGCGGTACATCTTGACATCTTGACATTGGAGACGGGGAGTTTTAAGTACTCCAGCTGGCTGGCTCTTACACCAGAGTGTGAAGATGTCTTCCCTCAAGGAACACACAGCTAGATAGCCAGATACTCATTGCAATGAAGTTTTCATTCCCAAGAAAAGAAAGAGTGAGATTGGGGGAGGGGGATCCTGAGGGTCATCTGTCCCAGCCCACATGCTTGGTTCCTATTTCTGTTGATTATGGATTTTATCTGATAGGGAAGCAGTCTCATTTCTGACCCCATGAGTCTCACAAGGTAAGCCAGATGGCGGGCAGTTTTCTGGGTGCAGAATAGAAGTTGGCATAGGATCATAGATAAACAGAATTCTGGGTTCCACAATAAAACATCTGCCTGATCGTTTTGTGAATTTGGAATCTAAGAGATCTAAAAGTGAAAATGAGAAAGAATCACAACCATCTTGCCTGATATTGTATGAATCTATGACAAGTCTATAAATTCTTGTGGTCAGTTCTGACCTCAATAGGGTGTTCAACTCTTTCAAGGTGACACTAATGGTGAATAGCTGTTTTGATTATGTAAAAAAAATTGTTTCAAGTTTAGAATTCTGTTTGGATAGAAGGAATTACCTGAAAAGGAATGTGCAGACATCCATCCCATCTTCAAAAAGTCCTAGTCACTGCAGTCCAGCTACTGCAGCAATATTTCTGGTGTATTAGAGATGCAGGTCACATACAGATTCTGAAGTTTTTGCTGCAAGGAGGAAGAATCTCAGATCCTTTTGCATCTGTGGTGCCCAAAGCTGCATAGTTATGGTCTTCTAAAGCAAATGCTGTCTTAATTTCCACCCTATGCAAAATGAAACTTGCCAAAATAAGGAGGTAATTAGCAATTAATGAACTTGAACAGCCATTTGAAAAGAAGTAGATTAATTAAATGACTCTCATGGCCTCTTTATTGATATATTTCACTAGATCTGGGACATTCACATTTGAAAGAATGTTGTATAAAATTTGGTGACGATTAGACATATATGAAATTGTTCTGATTTATGGTGCAGAATCCTTTTGAGATGCTTTGTGATAAAGCATCTTTACGTTTTTGCACGATAATATTATTTTGCCTTTTCTTCATTCTTGGTTGAATTCCAGAAATGTATTGAACCATTGTGGAAAAGGGTGGGCCTTTAAACTAAGCAAAACTCCTATTCTTTAAACTTGTATCAGAATTTCAGTCAATATGCCAATGATGGTAGGCTGAGTAGCAATGATTCAGTAAATAAAAGATTGCAGTGAACAATAGTAATTTAATTTCTCACAGTTGTTGTAAGAGTGATTGAAAATAGAATAAAACAACCTCCTTAGTGCTCAACTAAAAGGCGTTAGTATTTGAAATAGAATTGCAGAAAATGATGTGGAAAGAGTATAATAAAACCTTCCTTTTAGGGACTCAATTAAATGCAATGGATAAAATTTCAATCTGAATTTTTGCCGCCCGCGACCCCACCTCTCATAATAGACAAGTACGCTGAATCTGAATCTGGAAAAGAGTGTTAAATTTAGTTTGATTTTTACAACATATGTCACAATGCTTATTTTTTTCCCAATATCGTTGTAACTTTGAACTGTTGCTAAATGAATATTGAAAGCTAAGGACTACCTGCATAGTTTTACAATCTATCAAAGGTGCTAGAATAATAGACAAATAGATAAATAACAAATTGGAAGTGACTTTGGAGGTGTTGTAATCTAACCTCTGCTCAAACAAGAAACCCTAATCATTTCATACAAATGGTTGTCCAATCTCTTAGATCCATGATGCAATGATGCACTTTCAGATTTGATGGATATTCCAGAATAATAGACAACCTTCCTCCACTTAGCCCATTAAATTAAATTCTCTAATGCAGTGTTTCCCAACCTTAGTCATTTCAACTGTCTTCCTGACAGTTAGAACAATTAACCAGTGGAACAATCTGCCTCCGGAAACGGTGAATGCTCCAACACTGGTAGTTTTTAAGAAGAGACTGGACAGCCATTTGTCTGAAATGGAATAGGGTTTCCTGCCTGAGCAAGGGGTTGGACTAGATGACCTCCAAGGTCCCTTCCAACATTATGATGATGAGGATGATGATAATGAGTGGACTTCAACTCCCAGAATGCTGGCTGGGTTATTCTGGACTGTGAGGTCCACACATCTTAAAATGGCTAAGACTGAGAAACACTGTTCTAGTTGACCAGAATCTGAAAATTCCAGAGAGACAGGATTGGAACTGTTGTTATAATTGAAAGTGGAACTTGATTTAAATATAGCTGTGGTTGCCCTGAAGGGATCATCAATGAATGCTGTCATGGACACTTCAAAAATCCACCAAAGCTTCATGTTCTTTATAAATAACATCTCCATTCACAGAAACGTCTTCCTGTCTCTGGACCTTTATCTGGACCACCGACAGATCCTACTGTCTCTGTTGTAGATTGTGAATTTTCACGGATGTCATGGAGACAGCAGTCCCATTAAATCACTTCCCCTTCTTTGCCAGACCTAGTGCTGGCATATTAAGGCAATTTTTTATACTGGTCTTTCTCAGCCCTTGTCTTCCAATGCCATTGGTCTTTGCAAAGAACATTTTTAGATTTTTATAATGACAAAAAGTTACAGTTCCTAGAATGGAACATTTTTCTTTTAGATGTTACCAGTCTCATAGTTCTGAAGAGGATTTGATGGTCTTCCAGAATTTAATATTTCAAATTGAAAGTGGTTTGTAATGTTCTGGATGAAGTGGGAGTTTTGCACATCTCTAATTTTAAATAAAGTCTACTCTCTTAGGATCTGCGCTCAGACTTTCACTCTGTCTGTTTTTACAAGAGCAATTAGGGCTTATCTCCTCAGTTAGGTTTTTAAATGTTAATGGTTTTGATATTTGCAAAGTTTAAGATGATTTAAATTACTTTGTTTCTAACTTATTAAAAATATCTTGGCATTTTTGTAATGTTCCACCAAGGGAAAGGAAAGATATAAATTGGATAAATAATTAATTTTAACATATTCCCTCCTACAGAGTGCCTCAAAGGATATCTTGTTTTGGCAAGTTGATATTTGAGAAAAGCAATGTATATTTTACAAAAAAAATAATACATATAAATATTATTTTTGAATGATCATAAGCAGAAACAACCGTGGGAAGAATGTGGCCAGACTGAAAACAATTTTGAGAGAATTTTGTTGATTTTCAAAATAATTTGCCCAGGAACAAAGTGGTGAATTTTGGAGCCATAATGTCTGATACTGAATCTAATACTAATTTAATTATTGGAAGCCTCTTCCATAAAACTATAACTGAAAAACGAGTTGTATTTCCCTATACCATCTTGCCTATTGAAGACCAGACAGCAGTGCCTAACTAACCTTAGTTGATTTTTAAAAAAGATAAATAGGATGAGAAACCATCAGGAAATCCCAGGACTGTGGGATAAATTGAGAAATTACTTTTTTTAAAAAAAAGTTTGCATTTTGCTAAGAAAACATCATGAATGATGCATGTAGTTACTAGAAGTTGCACTTGAATTGAGGGGGTCTTAGTAATGGAAAGATCTGGAGGCGTAGAAAACTATTTGCTAGTTTGTGACATCTGAACTGAGATATTGTCCGACAACAGTTTTGACTTTTCTTAAGAGCCTATGTGGCTATCTTTGTTTCTAGAAAATTTGGAAATTCAAGATTAAGAGAGATAATCAGCAAAGAAAGTTTTAGAAAGCAACCATCCTATTTGGAATTCTTGTAAGATAATATGGAATGGAAGTAGTTTCTCCTTTAGCCACCATTGGACATCATGTTTTCTTTTTTTGCCTTTCCAGTGCATTATCAGAAGATCATTCACCGAGACATCAAACCATCAAACTTGCTCTTGGGGGATGATGAACATGTCAAAATTGCTGATTTTGGAGTGAGCAATCAGTTTGAAGGCAGTGATGCCCAGCTCTCCAGCACTGCTGGGACCCCAGCCTTCATGGCCCCCGAAGCTATTTCAGATTCTGGAAAGAGCTTCAGCGGAAAGGTAGAATCTTTATTTTTCTATATGGCTTTCACATGCACATTCAATTGGAGGGAGTATAATTATTATTAATTATATTTCTTTGTCACCCATCTCATTTCAAGGCAACTATAGGCAGCTTACAGCATAAAAACATTAAAATCATCAGAAATAAATATTACTAATCTAATAACAATATATTCTTCATTCTACTGTTCGCCCTACACCAGAGATTTCCAACTTCAGTGAATTTAAGACTTGGCTGGCTGGAAAATTCTAATCTAGGAGTTGAAATCCACAGGTCTTAAAGTCACTAAGGTTGGGCACCCTGCTCTGCACTATTATTTATATAAGACCACATTTTTCTTGATTTTCATGAGAAAGTTTTGAATGTTTCAGAAGCTGTATGAACATATCTACCTTCTATGTTCACTATCAGACCTCCAAATCAGTAGCTTTATTTCCAATGTTCAGCTTGTGAGGACCAATATTTATCCAGCCAAAAATGGCATTATCCACATGTAAGAAGGTGGTACCATCATGTCTCAGGGAAACTCCAAAAGTACAAACGAACAAACAAACAAAAAAACAATCTTTAGAAAATACATACCCCAGAAAGGGAAAATCCTCAAACCAGCATACAGTACCAGGCCATGAAAAATAATGAGAAATAAAAAATGTTAAAACGTCGGAAAGAAATAAATACATTAATTAAATGTTTTTTTTTCCTTTCAGGCTCTAGATGTCTGGGCAATGGGTATTACTCTCTTTTGTTTTGTATATGGGAAGGTAAGGAATCTGTAAATGGGACTATTTTTTTAGGGGGTGTGTTAGAGTTAAATCATCTGTTCTAGGGCTCTCCACTTCCCCTTTCACCCAATAAGGCATACTAAAAGTTGTATCAATATATTGGATTGAAGCACCTTGTTAAACATAGCTTAGCCTTCCCAGGATGATATTTGGAAACTAGCTTTCTTGTAAGGGTTACGCACTCCCATAAGATAATTGTTTCCAATATGCATGCATTGTTTTGTTCTACATTATATTGTAATATGAATTATTTTCTACAACACAGCTAGAAATTAGTTGTAGTACAGGAAGGGGGAAGGGGAAGGGAAGGGAGATTTTCGATGCTCCCTGCAAGATTCCCAAAGAAACTCAATGGGGAAGCTGGCAGGAAATCAGAAGTTGCTCCTGTTCCCACTGCTTTTTTGCCCACCCTTGGCCATTTTGCATTTCTGTTTAAGTCAAGAAATACCTCTGAAACAATGACTCAGTGATTGGATTGTTCAATAATGCATAAATATATATAATAAATATAATTTGGAACAGCTAATGATTTGGTTAAGACCCTACACACACACACACACACACACACACAGAGAGAGAGAGAGAGAGAGAGAGAGAGAGAGAGAGAGAGAGAGAGAGAGAGAGAGAGACTAAGCCATAACTGTTCCTGCCAGAGAGAGAGAGAGACTAAGCCATAACTGTTCCTGCCAACGTGGGGTTATCTATAGGCCAAAAAGAATGGAAAATGGTTTGTTTTTCAGTGTCCCTTCATTGACGAATTCATCCTGGCACTTCACAACAAGATCAAAAACAAGCCCGTGGAGTTTCCAGAAGAGTAAGTAGACTTGTAGAATTGATTACCGCAATCAGAGTTCCTCATCCGGAGTCATTTGAATATCTAGTCTTGCCCATTCCAAACAGGTGGTAATCATGCCTGTAAACAGCAACTATGCCAGTCTCTTTTCAGTTTGGGTAACATCTGGAACAGCAATGGATGAAAGCAGGGACTGAACCCATGGAAAATGGGCTGAGGGGGTATCCCACAGATAGACTGCTGAAGATCAAGGAAGTTGTAATCCCAATAGGTAGAGGACATCACCCTAGTAGTCCTCGGTAGTAGCTCCATTAATAGAGATTTACTCTAATTACACCTATCCCATTAATACCCTTCTTTCCTTTGTTTTCTTATCTCTGCTTTCTCCAGCCACTTTACATATCATGGAAGCCTCATTTCCGACATTGTATTAGATATGCTGCATAATTAGTTAGACTGGTATTTAAGGAGCATTTTCCCAGTTATTCCCATATTGTTCAACGACAGCCTGGAAGGATGTTTCATAAAGCTCTCTCTTTTTGAAGATGAAATCATTTTCAGTCAAAAATATATTTCTTCTTTCCTTTTGACCCTTCTCTTATATATTGGTTTTGAGATTTGGTCCTAATTATTTCTCTGTCGCACCAAAGTATCTCAATTATTCTCTCAACCTTTGCTACAGGTCAGTCACCTTTGTATTTATTGACATTCATTTACTGGTAGTATCCATTCTCTTTCTTGACCTTGTCTGTTCTCATTTTGCTCCACTTTTAAACACTCCAGGGCAATTGCCTTCCATTTCCTTTATGATATTCAAACTCTCACTTCCATATAACGAAGTAGGGAAAAACGGCCTTTCTTCATACTCTTTTTCACTTCTTTTAATAAACATGTTTTCCTTATTAAAGACCACGTATTATCTACTACTTTCTACCTGCATTGCATGCCTTAATGTTTTTCCATCTATTTTTCCATTTTTAATAAACAGTCTACCCAGGTACAGAAATGCATCTACTTGCTTTAATAAACACATTTATGTATAATCTGCATTCATTAATTCACTTTTCCCTGTCAAACACAGCTACCTTGGTCTTAGATACATTGATTTTCAGATCTGTATTCCCTGTGACATCATACAGTCTATCTAACATCCACTGCAAATAATTTGATTTGTTAGCCAAAAACATGGCATCACCAGCATACAAAAGTATATATATGTTTACATTTCCAACTAACATACTTCCTTATACATACATGTATAAGGAGGTATATTGTTATATTTAAGTACATTAACAACGAAGGGGATATCACACATCCTTTTCTTACGGTCTGCTTTCCCAAGAAACTGGGATAGGCAAATGTTGTTGTTTCCTAATATAAAAGGTATCATCACAGAATGTAAGTTGTTCCAAGTAAATCTACCTTTGTTATTGACTGAATAACTCCAGAAGTTTTGGGATTACACCCAAGCAATCTGTTATTATTGGTACTATCTTTGCTTTCTTTTGCCACAGTCATTCTACTTCTGTTTGTAGCTCTTTGTATTTTGTGATTTTCTTCCATTCTTTCTCTTCTATTCTGTCTCCATGTATTGCCACGTCCACTACCTAAAAAATTTTTGGGTCTGTTTTATTGACAGTTGTTAGATCTGCAGTGCTAACGTAGCAAGTGCTTGTCTGCTTGAATTCTAAATTCCCATTTTCATCTTTCTTACATTTTTGTATTGGAATTTTTCAGATACGCTTGACAAACTATTTCCCCCGTGGTTTTCTATTTCCTCCTGCTGTCTTTGTTTAGGAGAGCCATAACAGTGTCTTTCAATTGTCAGGGACAGATGTAGTTTCCACATACTTAGTAAACAGGTTGCTGAGCCACACTGCAGGTAGTCCTCGATTTGAGACCAGAATTGAGCTCACATTTTCCATTGCTAAGCAAGGCAGTTGTTAAGTGAGTTTTGCCTCATTTTGGAATCTTTTTGTCACAGTTGTTAAGCAAAGTACTGCGGTGGTTAAGGGAATCATGTGAATCAAGGCCATTAAACGAACCTGGCTTTCTGCCCATTGACTTTGCTTGTCAGAAGCCGGCTGGGAATGTCACAAATGGTGATCCTATGACCCTGGGACAGTGCAAGTGTCATAAATACATGCCAGTTGCCATGTATTTGATCACAGGACCCTGGGGATGCTGCTATGGTCATAAGTGTGAAAGCTGGTTATAAGTCCCTTTTTCCAGTGCTGTTGTAACTTTGAATGGCCACTAAACAAAAGGTTGTAAGTCAAGGACTACCTGTATAAACAAATCCTATTAATATTTTCCCCAGTTTAACATCTACCCTTGAAGGCTTCACACGTTTCAACATTTTTCACAGCGTTATGACTTTCTTTTCATCACTTTTTTCTTGAGCGCTAAAATGGATGATACAGTATTTGCTCCAGTTCTTCCTTTGATGTATCACTGCCATTCCCATGCAGTTCTGTAAGACACTCCTTCAGCATTCTGTCACTTCAGCTTCACACAAAATTATTTCATCACTTTTATTTTTAATAAAATAAAAGAGAAAGAGAAAGAGAGAAAGAGAGAGGGAGGTGTCATGGAAAACCCAATGAAAAAGACAAGAGATAGCAACACAATAATAATAATTCTTACTCTAGGATTCAGAGGTTTATTTTGCTAATGATTTGGAACATAGCAAGCATAATAACACATCATCACATACATCAATAACCCATTGCAATGAGGACCAGATGACATAGCAGAATCGAATAGGACAGCTATAGGCAAATGGCAAATCAATCAGGTCCAGTCTCAACCTTTTATACCCTTTCTCGTTCTAAGACTGTTGTCAGATGGTCTGCTGACTTTTGCTGACTTCTGACCTTTTACTGATTTCCTGCTGACCTACTTTCCATATATACCCATGTACATTCGAACTCGCATCCATCAGCTACTTTTCAGTTCCCTATTTCTCCCACAGTTACAATGCTCATGTTCCAAATATACATAGAACTATCTACTTTGCAATTTCATATTGCACAAAGCTCAGCAGATTACAAATAGTATGTTCGTTTTGTGAAACAGCATAAAGTTCAAATCACTTCTGTGGGGGCCTATTTCAGGTTTGTTCTAGCCTCATTTTCTTATATGAGGAGGGGGCTATATTTTCATCTCCCACAGAGGGAAGCAATGGAAGATTATCAAGAAGAAATCCAATCTGTCAGAATCCAATTATATTTCATCTTTAATTATCAAATATAGAAACTCCCAATTCTGCCTTCTCTGGATTCTGCCATAAGAGGGAGAGAAGGGGGAGAACAAAGGGGCTTTATGGCCCTCACTTCCTTCAGTACACTTCAAAGAGCTGAATGCTGAATGTGTGTTTATTGTAACCTCAAAGCGTTAGCATACCAAAGACGGGTATTTGCCTTTCATGTAGTTATCTGAAGTCTCCATCCAGACGGAAGAAAGAAGAAAGGGGGTGGAATTGTGATACTTGAAACTATCACTGGAAGGGGGGTTGATTGGGTGGGACTACTGGGGAACCCCTTAAAACCTTGACTGGGAGAGCTTGAACCCCAAGTCCTGTCTAGCATGCCTGCAACCATTTTCTCTTAATAAAGGATTCCTGTTGGAAGAATTATTCCAAGAGTTCTGTCTTCTTAAGATGCAAAGTGGGGTGGGTCCTTACATTAGACAGGACTTGCCAAATTAATCCACCTGGAAGGAAGACCCTTGCCGGGGGATTTTGCAAAAATTTACCATGTCAGACAATGGAGCAAGAGAGGGGGGAAACTCCCTGGAAAGAGAGCCGCTGACCCAGTTGGAACCTTGCCAGATGTTGGGATCCGAGAGGCCAGATTCCTCAGGAGAAGAAGTGGTGGAGACACGGGACCACAAGCCTCGCTGGTCGATGGGCGTTGGAAAGAAAAGTGAGTGGGAAAAGGAATCAAGAAAGGTGACCCTGAGACGGGGGACCAAGCAACCAGAATGGAAGCAGGAGATGGAGAAATCCCTGCACGCAAGTGAAGAGGGAGGACGCTGGGCACCGTACTCAGACTGGATCCTAGAGAAAGCTATTGACCTGATGAAGAGAACTCTCAGCTCCCTAGGAGAGGAGAATACTGAGCCCTACGGCCGTCCCAGTTCCTGGAGACGCAAAGGGAGAGACACCGAGGGGGACGTGGAACCTGCAACCCCAGGGACATCTACTGATCCAGGAGCCCCCACCCCCTACCGGACCACAGATGGCAATCTGGACGGAAGATACTACCACCCACAACAGAGGCACCGATCCATTCCAAGACGTCCACCGTTGGAGGTGAAATTCAAAGGGGAGCCAACACGCTTGGGGTTTTTCCTAACCCAAGTCCTCAGCTACATGAAGGAATATGGGCAGGATATTCCCAGCGACAAAGCCCGCATCCGGACCGTGCAATCTGCCCTGGATGGACCAGCTGCGGATTGGGTCGTGAACTTGCATGACTCCAATGCCCCAGAACTCAGTAACTTCAACCGTTTCATGTCCTCTTTGAGAAGACGATTTGAAGACCCCCTGGCTGATCGCAAAGCCCGTGCAAGAATAACAACGATGAGGCAAGGCAAACGCCCAGTGGCTGAGTATACACAAGAATCCGGGCCATTGCAGCAAACTGAATTGGCCAGATACATCCTCCTTGGCCATATTACCAAGATTGACTAAACTAACTATGATCTATATGATGCTTTCCTTCCCCGAGGACCCACATCGACTGGAGGAATGGTACGTCTTGGCAGAGGAAGCAGAGATCGACATATTGAAGAGGCACCGCTGAAGAAAACAATGGAGCCGCCCCCCGCCTGAGCTGACACACCAACCGGTGAAATCATCGGATACAGCCAAGAAGCAAATGGGATGTTTCAAGTGCGGAAGAGAAGGGCATCGAGCTGTATAATGCCGCTCAAAGGCCCCCCAGCACAACCCAGACAGATCCCCAATCAACAAACCCGGAAAGTATTCAGCTAAGCCAAAAGAAACAGCCATGAGA